TTATAAACCATAATTTACCAACTATTGAGTTTTCTGTAGAATTCCATTGATTTTCTTCGGTTAATTTAATTTTTGTTGTAGATTACAATAAAGCCTTAACGATAAGTTATTTTAGTGATTTGTGATTTCATTTGATCACTTTGTGATTGTTGCAAATAAGAATTATTTAGTAATCACTATATGTGACATCTCTTATAACAGAATTCCCTTAGTGGATGATTAGTTATATTATCTAATCAATTGTTTAATCGTAATTTTGTAGATATACATTAACGATTAGCGATTGGAACATTTCGAATGAAATATTTCTCATCATTAAGTAGAGTAATTAACTTTAGCAAATGACCCTAATAGAATAGTAATTCCGAGATTGTAATTCCCCATTACACTTAAATTTATTGTTCAGGAAAATTTAATAAACTATGAATAACTTTTTTTTGTAAATACTGAGTAAAGAATTAAAGTCAGTTAAAATTCTCAGAAGGGGTTTTGTGGAGTTTTATACATTAGCACAGTTGGATGCCGGCTCAGTGGTCTAGTTGGTTAAGCGCCTGGCGCGAGGCTGATAGGTTCTGGGTTTGAATCTCGTGGGATGCAGTATCGCTGATGCGCACTGCTGAGGAGCCCCATACTAGGACGAAACGGCCGTCCAGTGCTTCCAGGTTTTCCATGGTGGTCCAGCTTCAATTGACTCATGATTTGAATCAGTGAAATTTCAGTTAAAGTTACTAGAAATACTATACAATGTCGTAAATTAAACTTTTAGGCTTAAAGTGATCAAATGTTTCACACTTGTAGTGTTGGTTACTATGTTAAATCTATATTACCATGTAATAGCTTCTGGACAGGCCAATTTATCCATTCTTCTTTAGTCACGTTTTGACCTTGGCAATTATTTACTTATTAATCTTGAGTTTTTTTTATATGAGTGTATGTGTATACACTTCTCATTTTTGTCTGGCTATGTATATTGATTAACGCTTGATTAAATCGAGTTGGCTTACACGCCTTCTCCACTGCACATCATTTCACTTCACTCCCTTCTCATCGCTTTATCCCTCTGATTGTTTGTTTAAATCAATGAGTGTACAAATTATACTCATTCAAAAATCCATTCTTGTATTTGACTGATTAAATTCCTCTACACTAACGCGAGTTAAGTCGATGATTATAGACGATGATAGGCGACATAGGTATTTCAATAACATTCATATGATCCAATCGGAGTCAGATCCCAAACCACTCAACGTTATAGTAAAGGCTTTCGTTTCTGTATAAAATTTAGACTTTTCATATAGTACAAGATAGGTTTAATGAAAGTAAACAGAAGGGGGACTTTAAAAAGACCAAATTTGTGTTCATGAGATGTTTACATTATAATGAATCAAAAATAATCTATGAATCAGGTAATGATGTTATTGTTTTAGTATTTAATTCGTTAATATTTTAAGTTCAGTATTCGATGATTGATACATTTTATATCAAAATTTCCTCACACTTCATGAATACTTATGAAACAGTAAGAGTTTAGTCAAATAGTGAAGATAAACATCTCTTGTCATTTTGTCAACACAAAATTGAATGATTTATGTTATTCAGAAGAAATCAGGTTTATACTTCTGTCTTAGGTCTGAAACCCAGAACTTGAAATTTTTTCACCACAGTTTTTATTATGAATAATTTATTGGATTCTGCGTCGATTTGAATTTTATAACTTCACTGAAGGATGTAAAATCTCTTGGAATTCTATCCTGAGATACAATGTCGCTTCTCAAACTCCTTGTTCTAAATAACTTCTTAATTAATGTTAGTACATTTAACTTGGAGATTGGTGAATTTATGTTCAGACATCTAAATGCTCTCCATTTTTAATGTAATTACGAAGTAAAAACATATAGTTCAGTATACTGTTAGCTAATAATATACACTTATCTTTTGACTAAGACTGGATGTGTGATTTTATGACGACAGTAACTGAATAAAACTGGGACAAAACATTCATGATCTAATTTTCGATACTTGATAATGAGCTATTGGATTCTTGGATAAAAAATAATGGCTGGAATAAAAGCCATGGTCATTTTAGCTAATAAGTTAATATGTTTAGTCAGCAGAATGCTCATTCTGAATTTATGGTATCGAATGATCTCATAATCCAAATTTATTTATCTCCTCTTATTCATCATTTTCGTAGATAAAATACAAAACCGTCTACTAATCAAACCTTCTTCAATCCAATTGTAATAACATTGTTCTGAGATTAAACGTTTTATCAGAAAGGGGTCTTTGTGGTGTTTGTAGTAATTTAATAGTTGAGATCATGAGTTGATTAAAGCTAGACCATCATGGAATACCTGGAAGCACTAGACATCCATTATGTCCTAGTATGGGACACCTCAGCTGTACGCACTACATTTTAAACTTTTATGTAACAAAATCTATTATTTATAAACACTGAATTTTATTCACTGACACATTTTATTCTGTTTTCTTATTTAAATTTTGACAGAACATCACTGAAAACTATCTAAAAACCTACCTAAAATTACCCTATAAATGGCGGTTTTTTCACTTGTTTTTGATTATATAGTAGAGCTCATTTAAAATAAATGGAAAGGATAAATAATTTTTTGTGGCTTACAATCAAAACTGGGATGATATTGCTATGTGATATGAAAAGAATAGTGACCAAAGAAGTAAAACTTGAGCAATTCACTCAGAGAATGATTGAATTACTTACATTAATATACTATTATAAGGTAATGTCATTTACCGTGATAGTAATACTTCAGTCAAAAGAAATAAAATTCAATTGATACAAGCACTGTAGATTCTTCCTTTGCAACTTATAATTGATTTGGTTGTTAATGTAACTAATCAATAAATATGTTTTACAACTTTAATATATTTATGAAGGTTTAGACAATCAAATAGACTACAACTGAACTCTTTGATAGTATACCACTCTGTGTGTTACATTAGACCTTTTATGAAATATATATGAATTCATTTCTTTTAAAAGTAATGATACCCGTTGAATTTTCTAAGTAGTTTTTATTATATCCAAGATATGTAAGAGATGTAAGTCGTAAACCAAGAGAAACCTAGCATATATATGAATTACTTCAAATTGCCACACCACATCTGTGCAGTTAGATGCCAAAATTAGTGGAAGTAGTAACTATTATAGTGTTGGTAGAAAAAAATGTAAGTATAAAAGATGTAATTCGGAAACAAAATATACTTATTAAGATGATCAGAGGAGTTTTGATTTAAAAGAAGACAAAAATTGGATGCACTTTATCTTTTGTGAATGATTCTATCCCATGTCATCAAAAGTGTTTAACTGATGTTTATAAGATCTTAATCAATTAACACTTAAAATTGTAAATAATAGATAGAATACTTAGTTTGATCAAATCGACACCTTCAATTTAGGGTGGTAAACAGATTCGCTATCAAAATTTAATTAAAAATTCTGATTATTTTACTGAAGCAGTAACTACTTGCATTGTAGTGTAGGAAGTCTTTAACGGAATCAAGAAAAGTTTGATCAGCAGTGATGATAATTACTAAGAATACTTATAGTCCTATACTCGTAGAAAAACTAGTAAATAGAGATCCAAAGACAAAAAAAATGCAGTGATGAATCCAAACAGAGATGGAAGGATAAATTATCCAAAATATGGTTACAGAATCATGAATGTAGTTATAGGTTGTTGAGTTGTATATCACCTATTCGAAATAAATTTTAACAAATGAAAACAGATTCATGTTCTTTGAAAAAAGTAAACTGTATAAAGCATTGATAATTCATATGATGAATAGAAAATAGTATGCTGTAATGTAAATCATAACACAGATATGAGAGATTTTGGCTGATTGAGACTATAATTGATAAATAAGGCTGAAAATCAAATTAAACATATACGCTGATAAAAAGTCAACAATTGTTCATTCCTGATAGTTTTAAGAGACTTTTATTCTGTTGAAATCATTGTAATGTTTAGAAACGTTGTACGTCAGATAGTAAGGAACGGAGTTTTTGATTTAAGGTTGCTCAGAAGTGGACACCCATCTTTCGATATATATATATATATATATATATATATATATATATATATATATATATATATAAGGCTAAACTCCTAAAAATGTTACTGTAAATAAGCAAATCAGAAACCATTTGTTAGAAAATTATCGGGGAAAAAATCGGCCATTAATTGACCAATGGGAATTGTTACAATTCAAATATAAGATATCCATCTTGTCATAAAATGAATGAAGTTACTTAGAACCATGATATTTATTTATGGTAATTTACATTATGAATATTTAACTATTTGTCATCTATGTAAGTTTAGTCTTATTTCAATTCACAAAATCTTTATAGACAAAATAAATGCTGGAAACGATCGGTTTAATATACACGATTTATTCTAAATATAAAGGAATTTCCATTCGATTACAATTGATGGGTAAAGAAGTAAAACAGTTTGAATATCTTAATTATCTTCATTATAACATCCCAGTTTTCTCAACAACAAAAAAAACATTTTTTCCTCTTTTCAAAGTTGAATTGCCATATGTGACATATAATGGAAGAATTGATCGTTAAGCTACTCTTAGTATTTGTATTGCTTTAAATATAATTCAAGAATTTTCATAAGTAGTATGAATCGTCTCGAGATAACGCATAGTTTAGCGATAGTACCTAATTTAAGTGTCACAATGTGTTGAAAATACTTTAGTATTAAATGCTTGTAATTTTCCATTGTTTTTTAGTCTGAACTACTATTGATTATTTTATGTTACCGTTTGTACATTCTAAGAGTATTGATTTGATAAGAGTTTGTACAGACAACTTGATAAGAAACTTTGCCCTGTTACTTTAAGTATCAATAGTTTGTTTACTATATAGAAGCTAAGCATGTAAATTCTTTGATGTGCATCATAAAATATGCATATTATCAATCGAAATTCTATAAATAATAACTCACTTCAAGATTTTTGAGATAATCCGACAACTGAACTGTTTCAATACCAGCTTGACTAGTCATTGTATTGTGTTGTGATTGAGAAACGTTGAATGACTATTATAATCTCAATAATTTGAGGTCACCAAAAAGGCATTAATTCAGTTGACAGATATTGTTGTTTTAATGTTTTAGATTTCGTGTGTATTGTTTTCAGATTAAAAGGATAAACTTGGTAGTTTTCAAAAATTACACAATAAATGATTCAAAGATAAAGTTTTTGTTTGTTTGTTTGTTTGTTGTCTTTTGAAAATTGTTGAAGTAGATTTCTTCAATGATTATAGAGGAGGAACAAAACAAATTTGAAATTTCCTCATCTTCAATGAACTATAAATGTTTATATTATAATAAATATGTTTATTTATATACTCATAGAAATGTGTAAGGGTACATGTATAGGTGAATAGATTTACACACACATACACACAGAGAGAGAGAGATAGCAATCAAAATATATACTTCTAAACAAGTATAACGAAATAATAACAGTAATGTCAATTTCTGTTCTCTAAATCAACTTTGACATAAAGAAGATAAATACTGTTGAATGTTCAGCCAAGATAGTCTGTATGATCTGAGGTGAAATTTTTTTAGTTTCTATGTGTAATGTATAATGTGTATGAGCACAGTAATTATTATTCTTATTATTATTAGCAGTAGTAATAATAATAATTCGAGTAGAATTCTAAAGTATACTAATAATCAATCAACGCAATGAAAACGAAAATATAACCGAATTAGATAATGCGTTGCTCAATCTAATTGTTAACTTATAACTATTGAGAATATATGGTTTACATAAAAATAAGAAATTGAACTAGTGTTTATGACTGGATGAGTTAGAATTACACAAATTTCACTCATAAACCAATCAATTACTTAGAAACACACTAATTTTGTTTCTCAATTTTCTCTTCATTAGTGTTGTTTTGTGAATGTTTTAAAAAGAGAAAAAAAATCAAAACGTTTTGTGCTAGTTGGATAAAATTATAATCGATATGAGAAATTTCATTTTACTATAGACATATGATACAATGAAACAAACTCAATTGTATACAACGAAAAGTTTGCATACGTTCGTTATGTGTTTGTGTGTGCAAATTGTGCAAATACTACATATACCTACACATACAGGCCTACATATACAAATGAGGTGCATAACAAATTTATTCAAGATACTATGCAGTTATGAGTAAACGTTTGTTTGATTATGAAAAATACTTTACTTCATTGATTTGCAAGTTTCAAAAAAAAGTTTTCTTTTCCGACAGTTTCATTCTTTTGTCCTGGTGTATATGTTTATAAAGTAACTTACAAACTGCACTGAATAATAAGACAGTTACCTTTGGCACATATAGTCACCTTTTTTTTCTTGAAACATTATCGTGTAAATTTACATAGTTTGTATATCATACAACTGCAATAGATTGTGCAACTATACTTATGTGCCTAATGGTAGTGTAATATTTGTATTGTTCTGAATACAGGTTCAATAGTAAGACAGTAATGATATAGATTTGAGTTGTAAATCTGAATTATGATCTGAATTCATAGGTTTTTGGACTTGTAAATAAGTAGGTATATACATAGGTACAGATCTATACTCAGCAAAACACTAAGTCTGGGGTCAGTAGTGAAAAAATTAGCATACACTGATTCAGTTCATTGATTATTACATTTCCATTGAAGAAATGCATAAAATTTCAAACAAATTATTTGTAGGCTTTATGTTATTGTCTATCTTTCTTAGTTCAATTTTTATATGCTAGTTTATATCGGTTACTGATTTATATTTTAATTGCTTAACTATACAAAAGTGTGATATAGATAAATTAGTCTATAACGGCACTGGGTTCGAGTCCCAGAGTGAACATCAATTCTCAGATGCAGGTACATCCAGCTGACGAGTCCAAAATAGGACGAAACGAGAGTACTGGCTCTCGTTGCTAGGCACTATCCATCTTTTCTTATGACCATATAATTAGTTGATTTTCATTATATACCATGATCTCTTGGGAGAACAATTATGTTATATGGATTCATTGTTCTGTTGTATTAACGATGCTCATTATTAAAAAAACATCCAAAGTAAATAAGATAAAATATTTTCAACTTATCGTTTTAGTCATTTTTTCTCTGGATGATATGTCAACCCAAGATGTAAATTATTTTCCATTCAACTGGTTACCATCAAATGATAAACTATGAGATGTCGATTAGGAAAAAAACTTGAATATTATAAAGGCACTCTTTAGTATACTCAACAAAACATCTTATCCGTCAGAAACATCTTATATTTAAAAGCTTTTTGAATCTAGTTGAATTATTCACATAAAATGGATTTATTTATATTTGGTGATGATTTAATTAGAAGTGAACTGATCAATGTTTATTATCAGAAAAGGGGGTTTTATGGGGATTGTAGTAATTGAGCAGTTGAATTCATGAGTCGATTAAAGCTAGACTGTCATGAAAAATCTATAAGCACTGAACAGCCGTTTCATCCTAGTTTGGGACTACTCGGAATCGCGCATCCATTGTCCAGCTCGCGAGATTCGAATCCAGGACATCCGGTTTCACGCTCGAACGCTTAACCAATCCACGAAATTACGCCCCCATCCACTACTGTCTTCAGTGAGTAACTGCCTTACAAAATACATGGTTGGGCTCGACTGTTCACGGCTCCTCACCTGAACTCCAGGAAATACCTCTTGAAACCAGTATTTATTTGATGTTTCTGTATTCAACAAATAGTTAGGAATTGAGTTCGTCAGTCTTGATAAGTTATTATATTCCAACTAGACAAAAAACCTAATTAGCACCAGAAAGGTCATCTGGCTTGATGTTAAGTTGTTATAAGAAGTTTTATTTCCTTTAATCTAAGTAACAGTCTTTATGGTCGTACTAGACTTGAAATATTCATCTCATTTAATCTGCAAATGTCTATTCTGTCCACTAACACAATTCACCTGATTTTCAAAATAACATCTTTAAAATTCTCCAAATAATATTAAGATTTTATAGTATGCGATAGTATGTGAGTTCATCCTAATTATTAATATATAAATGAATGTATTTTCGACTAGGGTTGTCGTCGTCGTGTTTTGTGGGTCAACAAATCTTCACTTATACCAGTTTTTGTTTTCTTATTTTCGCGTTGTGGGAATTGCCGAGGTCCGTCGTTTCGAGTATAAGTGACGACCAGATATAAAAAGTAGCATTCGAACAACAAGACATATCAGTGTCGACGGGGCGTAAAAAAAGTAGCATTAAAAGAGCCAAGACAATCAGCATTCAATTGACAAATTATAACAGAGATGATACTCATTTTTAGGGAATTAACATTTTCATAATGTAGTTCAATAAGTCAATAACATTATTTACAAATCAAATGACAACAAACTAATGAGTAATAATGTAGTGTACATCAGTTTACATCATTGTTATACTTGGAAGTAAATTGAAGAAATTAACTGAAATATGCAAATGGGAATAAACATTATATGGCTAAATATCAATAACTTATTTAATGTACATTGTCATAATTCAATGGATGAAATAAACAGAATACGATTGATTTGGTTGTTGTTAGCTGTTCGATATTACAGATAATGCGTTATGATTTTATAAATATGATAAACTGTTAATTATGTTTTATTGTGAATATTGAATTCCTAGGTTAATCACTCATAATACTTATTTGGTATTAGGATTGATTTACAAAAGTTGTAAGAAATAATAAAGATAATCAGATAGGGGTTTTATAGATATTACAGTAATTTAATGGTTGAATTCATAAGTCAATTGAAGCACTGGATGGCCGTTTCGTCCTAGTATGTGAGTCCTTAGCAGTGCTCATCCGCGATCCTGCTTTGCGAGATTCGAGCCCAGAACCTATCGGTCCCGCGCGCGAACGCTTAAGCTCTAGACCACTGAGCCGGTCGGCATCCAACAGTGTTAATGTATAATTTCAACTAATCCACGAAATTAAGCTAGATAAGTTTAGAAACAACCAATTTATTGGATTTACTTGTAGGTACCTTATATATCACTCGTACAAAAATGAAAAAACAATGGAAAACAAGGTTCTTTTTAACCTTACACATGTTAATTTAGTCTCTGACTGTTGTCATTTATAAATGAATAAAACATGACCTGCAATTGATAATCTTTTTATCAGCAAACAACATTGTTTAAGGGTAAGTTACATATTCTTTGTAGAATCTGGTAAACTCATTTCTAGTTTTAAAACACATTTTCAGTTTTTATGTTATGCCTTAATTTGAATTCGCATACCATAAACTATAAATCACTTTGCCTGGAAATCTCAAATAACAAAATAGACTGTACTGAAATCAAACTTATTCAATTCTGAGGAAATTAAGAAACAAAGTATGTGTTTTGTTCAACGCGAAAGAGGATCTGAAGATCACTTAGACAATATGCGAAATATTGATCGAAAGGAAAAGTAAGTAATTAGATTGACCTAATTAAAGGAAGTGTTACTTATCATGGGTAGCCTTTTGCCTTCGTTTCAAAACCGTAGCATTTGAATAATAGGTTTTAGGAGTGTTGAAGTTCGATTTTCGCAATTATCATAATATAATCCAGTCAATGAACATATGAATAGACCGTACATTTATGATAGGAACCAATAGTTGTGCACGTATTTCGATAGAACATAAAGGTGGATACTATTACGTCTTATCCGGGTATATAACAATACCTGTTTAATGACTTCATAAATCACTCTTCTATTATTTATTTTATTATGAACGATCCGAGAAAAACTAGTTTTTAGCTATGTAAAAAACATTGTAAATTAACTACATGGTAATTTGAGAAGGTCATTTAAACAAACTGTAGTAACTAATACATTCCCATATCGTTTGATCTGGCTGAAGAATTGTGATGACTCAGATTTCAATGTCAAATATTAATGTCCTACTTAAATTTGTGTATCTCTTGTTCTGTTCAATAAGATTTTGTTAATTTATTAAGGTTACATAATATTAAACTTTTTCCAATTCCAATCATATTACTAGTATAAGGGTTGTGGAGATTATTACGTTTTTGATTGAGATCATGAACCGATTGATGTTAGACCACCTTTGGAAACCTTGAAGCACTGGACGTCCGTTTCGTCCTATTGTGGGACTCCTCAACAGTGCGCATCCACGATCCCGCTCACGGGCTTCGAACCCAGGGCCTTCGGTCTCGCGCGCGAACGCTTAACCTACTAGACCACTGAGCCTAACATCAACCAATCCACGAAATTGCGCGACCATCTTCCATTGTACTGAGGTAGATACCTGTCCCTACCCGACATGGATTAGCATTGCTGAGGAGTCCCACAATATAATGAAACGGCCGTCCAGTGCTTCTAGGTTTCCAAAGGTGGTCTAACATCAATCGGCTCATGATATCAATCCAATCATATTGATTTGAAACGAATAAACTTAAGCTGGTCATTCTACCGTCATGAAATTACAACCTGTGCATGGTTGTCAATTACACAATGTATTATTATCGGTTTGAATAAAAATAAGATTTAGTTAGTGATGAAGTTTTTTTTAAAAATTAATTCAGTAATATAGTAAATCAATGAACTGGAAGTATTCACCTTGAACAAACTTTCTTCTATCCATTATTACTTCTTGCACAAGGGTATACAGAAAGCTATAGACTAAACGAAGCTATAATTAATAAATTTTGTCATATAAAATCAATTATTGGATTGATATTTAACAAGGGCTACTTGGTTATCAA